AAAGGTTTCCGTTTGTGGCGGATTACAAAAGGATTCGTTTTGTGGTGGATTACAAAAGGATTTCTTTTGCTAGCGATTACAAAGGGATTCCTTTTGCGGCGCATCACAAAAGGATTCCTTCTGAGGCGGATTACAAAATGATTCCTTTTGTGGCGGATTACAAAAGGATTCCCTTTGTGATGGATTACAAAAGGATTTCTTTTGCTAGCGATTACAAAGGGATTCCCTTTACGGCGCATTACAAAAGGATTCCTTTTGAGGCGGATTACAAAAGGATTCCTTTTGTGGCGGATTGCAGAAGGATTTCTTTTTATCACGGAAAGGAAGAAGCGGCCGCCTTATGAAAAACTTTGAAAACGCAGGCGCCCGTTACGCTTCCGAGACCACTCCTCGGCGCCTCTTGGGGCCATCTGGGAGGAGATCGAACAAAGAGGGGGGAGCACTTCAATAGCATTGCCTCCTCTCCTCGTCCTCCTGCTCCTCCTACTTCTCCTCCTCCTGCTGCTCCTTATCGGCACGGCCCCAGGGCCTCCTCAAAAGAGATTCGTGGTTCGGAATTTCTCGAGGGAGCCACCGAGCGCTCAGCGTAACAATTGTTGACGCTTCGCGTATCCCCACCAGCCCATCCAGAAACGACGCCCAGGCGAGTTGAGGTGACCAGGGAAGTGTGGGAGCAAAGAGGGGGACAGCCGAGCCGAGCGAAGAAGGGATGAGGAGACGGAGGAGGCTAGCTGGATGGATGGATGGATGAAGGAGTGGGGAGAATGGTGATGAATAGGAGGAAGAGGAGGAGGAGGAGGAGGAGGAGGAGGAGGAGGAGGAGGAGGAGGAGGAGGAGGAGGAGGAGGAGGAGGAGGACGCGAGGATATGAGACATGATTTCTATAGCAGTTTTGGCTTAAGCAATCAGTGCGCTCTCAGACAACGACAGCGATGTCGGCCAATCAGAAGCAAATTTCCCGCCAAAAGCGGCAATGGGCCGAAGCAGTGGCCGGAGGGAGAGAGTTCAAGCCGAAAGGCAAATGGCTCTTCGACCCCGAGAAGGAGGAGGAGGCCCTCCAGAAGGCGAAGAAGCAAAAGAAAGGGGAGGAGAAACACCAGCACTACGAGGGCGGCCACCACCAAAAGGAAGGAGAGAAAGAAAAGACGAAGGAGGCGACGGAGAAAAAAGACGAACAGACAGGGAAGCAGCAGGGCGGGAAAGAGGAGACCCAACAGAGCGCGAAGGCCCACCACTCTTGGGCGAAGCAGGGTTGGCGGCCCCTGTGCCGAGACTTCAAGAAAGGCTGGTGTTCCTACTGTGCGCGCTGCCGCTTCTACCACAGCGGCGCCGACGCGTCGGCGGGCAGCAGCACGGACAACGGGAACGGCAGCCGTCCTGCGTGCTTCCACTACAAGGCTGGGTCCTGCTCGTACGGAGAGAAGTGTTGGTACAAGCACGAGGTGGACGACGCGGGCCCTGCGGCCAAGGACGGCGAGTCCGTCTACGAGGGCAGCGACATCCCTAAACCAGGGGATCTTTTTCAAGAGACGCCCGACGAAGCAGCTCTCTCGGCGTCGATCGCCCAGTGGGCGGTCGATACGGAGTGGGAGCTGCGGAAGACGAAGTCCGACAAGGAAGTCTGGTTCTCCATCGATTCCCACGAGTCGCGCTGGAACAAACCCTCCGCGAACGAGAATGCGAAGCTCGTGGAGAAGAGGCGCGACATTCAGAAAGCCGCCCGCATTCGCGCCGCTGGCTTTGCAGCCAAAGCGGCCGCGGTGTTGGCGAAGTGGGGCGTGACCATGGACGAGCTGGACAAGGATTGGGTCTTAGAAACCATACACACAGGGAGGATACTTGAAAAGAGGAGGAGGAGGAGGAGGAGGAGGAGGAGGGAGAACATTGGAGAAGGAAGGAGGAAGGGAGGAGGAGGAGGATGGAGAATGGCACCGCGCATTGTGTTATATATAGATAGATAGATAGATATATAGATAGATAGATAGATAGATATGTGGATATGTATATATAGATCGATAGATAGATAGATAGATAGATATATATATATATAGATAGATAGATAGATATAGATATATAGACATATATATACATATATATACATATATATATATACATACAGATATGTAGATAGATATATAGACAGATATATATATATAGATAGATCGATAGATAAATAGAAAGATAGATAGATAGATCATATATACATATGATTCCCAGGAGGCTGAGATGGCCGACCGCGCGGAGCGTAACAGGCGCGAGCGGTGCCAGCGCAGATTGGAGAGCATCTTGAGAGGCGAGCAGTAGAGACGAGGGCCCTGATGAGCGGCCGCGCGGGATATAGTAAAAACAGGCCGCGCGGCGCTCGGCAGCCTGTCCCATGAACAGGCGTGAGTTGTAGAGGTGAATGCTGCGGATTAGCGGCCGCGCGGGATATAGTAAAACGAGCCGTGCGGCGCTCGGCAGCCTGTCCCTGGATTTGTGCGATATGCAATCACACGTGCGTTTTTGTAGTAAAAACAACTGAATATAGAAGTTATATCGATTTCAGGGAGTTTGGCATGCTGGCGTGTGTGTTGGTTTCCCTACAGGCTTCTACATCCGAGAGATCTGCAGAGTTGCATGCGGAGCAGTATTCTCAGTCAGGAGGAATCGAGATAAAAACAGCAAATACACGAAGTAATATTGATTTCTGAGTTTTCGGTGTGCTTGGCGTTTGTATGACTTTCACTACATATTTCTGGTTTTGAGCCGTCATCATCTGCACCGCCGAGAGCCCAAATCATCTTCATCATCGCAGTCATCATCTTCAGCAATATGAAAATCGTAGAAACGCGGGCCTCCGTTATGCCCCCCGACCCGCTTCCACAACGACGACTTCCTCTCGCTTGTCGGTGGGTGTGGCTTCCACCTGGAGGGGCAGGATTCTTCCTGCCTTGCGTTCGCCTGTCGGTGGGTGTGGCTTCCACCTGGTGTTCTCCTTGCGCCCGTCGGCGGGGTTGGCTTCCACCTGGTCTCTTCGCCTGTCGGTGGATGCGGCTTCCACTTGTTCTTTCTTTCGCCTGTCGGTGGGTGTGGCTTCCATCTGTTGTCGGCGGTCTTGGCCTCCACCTGTACTTTTCCCTGTCGGTGGGTGTGGCTTCCATCTGATCCTTCGCCTGTCGGTGGGTGCGGTTCCCACTGTTCTCTTTTCGCCCGTCGGTGGGTGCGGTTTCCACTTGCTCGCGTCGTGAGAAACGATGGCTTCCTTTCGCCTGTCGGTGGGTGTGGCGTCCACCCGTTCCCCGCCAGCACGAAGTGGCTGCCCTGACCGAGGCCCAACCACGCCAGGAAGTGCTACTGCTGAGCGCCTGCCAGGATGGGCGAGCCGCAGGCCCCACCTGGGTGGTAACCCCGGAGGTGCAGGATTCGTCTTGCCTTGCTTTGGCCTGCCAGTGATTGTGACCTTCACTTGCCCAAGCAGGAGGTGGTTGCTCAACGTGAAGCCCAAACGCCTCAGGAAGTGCCATTGCGCACCACTCGTTAGGAAGGGTGAGCCACAGGCCCCACCTGAGTGGCCAGCTTCCTTTGGCCTGTCGGTGGGTGTGGCGTCCACCTGTGTCGCCTGTCGGTGCGTGTGGCTTCCGGGCGTGGCTTCGACTTGGTCCCCTTTCGCCTGTCGGTGGTCGTGGCTTCCACCTGGTCTCTTCGCCTGTTGGTGGGCGTGGCTTCCACTTGTTCTTCCTTTCGCCTGTCGGTTGGTGTGGCTTCCACCTTTCCCCCCACCACGAGGTGGTTGCTCGTACCAAGGCCCTGACCACCCGTCAGGATGGGCGACCCCCAGGCCCCGCCTGGGGGGTCACCCCAGCCTGTCGGTGGGCGTGGCTTCCACCTGTTCTCCTTTCGCCTGTCTGTGGGTGCGGCTTCCGCCTGCTCGCGTTGTGAAAAACCGAGGGCTTTCGCCAGTCGGTGGGTGTGGCTTCCACCTGGCTTCCTCTCGCCTGTCCGTCGGTGTGGCTTCCACCTGGAGGGGCAGGATCCTTCCTACCCTCGCTTTCGCCTGTCGGTGGGTGTGGCTTCCACCCGGTCTTTGCCAATCGGTGGGTGTGGCTTCCTCCGATACCCCATTCGTAGGGCACGGGAATGGTAGCACTTTACCCGCGCCCTGATCGACACCCTTGACAATCCTTCTACTTCTCCTCTCACTTTCCCCCCCCCCCCCCCTCTCGCTCCTCTCACCCGTCTCACTCCTCTGACTCCTTCCCTCCCTCCCTCCGTCTCTCCCTCTCTCCCCTCTCCCCTCTCCCCTCTCTCCCGCATTCTCATCCTTCTCGTCGTCCTCCCTCGTCCTCCTTTGCCCCGTCTTCTCCTCCTTCTCCTCATTGTTGTCCTCGTTCCCTTTGCCGTCTCCCTCCGCCTCGTTATCCTGCCCCCTTTAGCCCCGTTCTCCCCGTCGCCTTTGCCCTCTGCCTCCTCCGTCTCCCCTCGCCGTACATGTCCGTTGAGCCTCGAGCCTATTTGCTCGGCCCTGCCCGCGTTTCCGAGCGCCCAGCGCCCATGGCTCCGCCGGTGGATCCCCGCTGAAAGGACGATGAGGGACGGGGACGAGGAGGGGCGATAGGGGACGAGAAGGTGGAGGGAGGGGGGAGGGCGGAGGAGGAAGGGGGAGTGGGATGGGAAATAGCAGGAGCAGGGTAAGGGCAAGTTGGAGGAGGAGGAGGAGGAGGAGGAGGAGGAGGAGGAGGAGGAGGAGGAGGAGGAGGAGGAGGAGGAGGAGGAGGAGGAGGAGAGGGAGGATGGGGAAGAGAGAGGAAAACACGAGAAGACAAATCATCTGAGGAACAACATGTTGCCGAGGACGACGCCGACGGCGAAATTCACAAGGACGGGGACGGCGAGGACGAGGTCGAGGACGAGGATGAGGACAACGACGACCGACCGGACCGACCGACCGACTGACGACCGACGACCGACGGTTGACGACGACGACGACCACGATGACGACGACGACGACGCCTCGGCAGGTGGATGCCGACGTGAAAGGCGCACCAGAGTCTGGCGCAGCCGCTTCGACGCAGCCCCAGGCGGCCGCAGGGGAGGGGAGGATGTTTTTTGTCCCCCCCATCTTCCTTCCTCCTTCCTCTCCCCCTTCCTCGCTTATTCACCCTGTTTGCTGCTCGCTCCTCCCTCCACCGTCTACCCTTTTCGCCACTCCGTGGTGCCAGGATGCTCTGCGGATGCCCTCCGCCCTCGCCACTGCGTCCATCCAGGCTGCCTTGGGTCAGTCGGTCCCTGTCGGTTTCAGCTTCGCAATCGGTCCAGTCGGCTGGCGTCGCAGTGGACGCGAATGCTCTTGCCTCTGCGCGTCCAGCTGCTCCAGCCACCGCTGCTGGCATTCGTGTTGCGCCGGGATCTGGCGATCGCGCTCCTCGGACCGCTCGTGGGTGGACTTCGGTCGGGGGTGGGGCGAGGGGAGGCGGCCTTCCAAGAATGCCCTCGCCTTCTACAGGCGCTTCTGCCTTTGCGCCTCCCCAGAATGTGTCCGGGCCTCTCTGAGAGACCCCTTTCCTCGTTAGACGGTCGCTCCCCCTCGCCCACCCCCGCTCGTCCACGCTTAAGAGTGGCCCTTCTCCAGAGAGGCAGACCTATGGTGCGGGCCCACTGGGGTCCCCCCGATCGCCGACTGCCATGCGATAGCTGCGCTTTGCGCGCTTGGGTTTGGCCCCTCCCTAATGCCGCGCACCAAAGGTTACTCTTGTCTAGGGTCGCTCTGGCGAGTGCAGTCAAGACTCTGAAGTAAGTACCACTTTGGGCTCATGGGAGGCTCTGGTATTCGGCCGTGCCTTAGATCTATGTCGCGGAGCCAACTCGTGGCCGAGGCCCCTCTGTTCTTTCTTTCGCGTTCCTTCTGACAGCACGATGACGGCTTTGTGTGAACAGCCCGTTCTGGAGTAACTACGATCATCGCTCGGCAGCCGCTCCAGAGAAGTGCGGTGTGGAGCTGGCCTTGACTGGTCAAGCAGGTTGACCCTGCGCCGTCCTCGCCCCCAGCTGCCGTCGTCGCCGCTGCTGCCGCCTCCGCCGCCGTCGCCGTCGCCGTCGCCTTCGTCGCCGTCGACGTCGCCGTCGCCGTCGTCGTGGCCGTCGCCGTCGCCGCTGCCGTCGCTGTTGCCGTCGCCGTCGCCGTCGCCGCCGCCGTCGCCGCCGCCACCGTCGCCGTCGGTGTTGCCGTCGCCGCCGCCGCCGCCGCCGCCGCCGCCGCCGCCGCCGCCGCCGCCGCCGTCGTCGTCGTCGTCGTCGTCGTCGTCGTCGTCGTCGTCGTCGTCGTCGTCGTCGTCGTCGTCGTCGTCGTCGTTGGCGTTTCTGCTGTCGCCATCGCTGCCTTCGTCGTCGTCGCGCGGAGAGCGAGCGTCGTCAGGCGGGAAAGTACGCGGGCATGGTGGACCGCATGGTGCAGCGCTGGGCCGGGGTTCGGCAGCCTGCCGGGCGGTCGCCGCGGGACGACCACACGCGCCAGACCACGAGCCGCGCGAAGATCCGGGCAGAGCGTATCGTGGGGCACGTCGTGCAGGAGACGGTCGAATGCCAGCTGCAGCGATGTCGATGACTTTCTTTCGTTTTTGCCCTCCGCGGCCTGGGGAACCCTCGTCGCCACGGCTGGCCCCGCCTCCGAGATCCTGGTCATAGCGTGCCCTTGCCGTCCCCTCTGAGATAGTGGTTAGTGGGCACCTGCAGATGCTGATCCGTGTTCGCGGTGTCAGTTTAGCTAGGTCTTAGCAATGTCGGCCACGCCGACGGTGGGTCCAGGGCTGGTTTGTATGCCGTCCTGGCTCAACAGCAGGTCTGTCCCCCTTCCTACTGCCTTGCTTGTTTCTCGCCCAGCCTGTCTGCTGCCTTTCTGGCCCAGAGGTACGGGAGCCTGCGCTGCTCCCGTGCCCGCCTGAGAAGCGCCTTCGGGCATCTTCCCGCTGACCAGATACCATTCCGCCTTCACGAGGGTACTGAAAAACACGCCTTTCACTTTCTACATCCTCATGAGTAAGGGCTTCGCCCCCTGCCGCGGGCCGAGAATGCGCTATGCAAGAGCTATGTCATGAGGCCTGGGCGTTATCGTGAAGCAGTATCGGAACTTCATGCGAGGCCGACTCGTAATGAGCAAAACCAATGGATCAACAGAGGGTTTACCACACCTGGCGGTTGGTAAGACGTCGTGGCCCTGCGGATCTGCGTTAGGGGTGCCACCGAATTTTGCAAATGTTGCAAATCCCTTATGTTTTTGGACCCTGACCCTACGGATCTGCGTCAGGGGTGTCGCCGGATTTCAGAAATGTGGTAAACCCTTTGTGTTTTTGGACCCTGACCTTACGGATCTGCGCGAGGGGTGCCACCGAATTTCAGAAATGTGGCAAATCCTTTGTGTTTCTGGACCCTGACCCTACGGATCTGCGTGAGGGGTGCCACGGATTTTAGAAATGTGGCAAATCCTTTTCCCGGAGAGGGCTTCAGGCCCAGGGTTCTCTTTTAGTAGGTTTACCCCCGGTTTTGACGGGAAGAGGGCCGGCGGATTTCTTTTGCGATAAATCACGAGTGGGAAGAGGGCGGGCGAATTAAAATTTCAGGATGTCCCTAGCGAAACGCTTGTTTTTCAGAATTTGTTGAGGATGTCTCGAGCGAAACGCTTGTTTTGTGTTATAGATTGTCCTCTCCTGGGGACCAGAATTTAGAGGATCTCTCAAGTGAAATGCTTGGTTTCACGTGCCCAGGTCTTGAGGATGTCTCGAGCGAGACGCTTGGTTTCACGCCTCCAGGTTGCCCAGGCAGAGGTCAAGCGCCAGGATTTGTTGAGGATGTCTCGAGCGAGACGCTTGGTTTCACGCGTCCTCGTCGCCCAGGCGGATGTCTAGAATGAGGAGGTGTTGAGGAAGTCTCGATCGAGATGCTTGTTTGCACGTGTCCAGGTTGCCCAGGCGGATGCCTAGCATGAGGATGTGTTGAGAATGTCTCGAGAGATACGCTTGTTTTCACGTGTCCAGGTCGCCCAGGCGGATGTCTAACATGAAGATGTGTTGAGGATGTCTCGAGCGAGACGTTTGCTTTCACGTGTACAGGTCGCCAAGGCGGATGTCCAGAATGAGGAGGTGTTGAAAACGTCTCGAGCGAAACGCTTGTTTTCACGTGCCCAGGTCACCCAGGCGGACGTCTCACATGAAGATGTGTTGAGGATGTCTCGAGCGAACTACTTGTTTTCACGTGTCCGGTTCGCCCAGGCGGATGTGTAGCATGAGAATGTGTTGAGAATGTGTTGAGCGAAACGTTTGTTTTCACGAATCCAGGTCGCTCATGCGGATGTCTAGAATGCGGATTTTGACAGGATGTCTCGAGCGAAACGCTTGTCCCAGCACGTTCCGTAGCGAGTCCCCTTGGCACGTCCCGCGGTGCGTCCCCATGGCACGTCCCCTGGCATGTCGCCTGGCGCGTCCCTTGAGACGTTCCGCGGCGCGTCCTCCTGGCATGGCCCCCTGTCAATTAGCTCGGCGGCAGATACTATGTGTTCAGGCAGCTCGAGCTTAAGATCCAGATCAGTTCGGTCAGGACTCGGATGCAAAGGAGGACTCGATCGACAACGCTATAGAGCACAACCGCGGCATTGCACATCGCAGTTCAGCACGGTGCAGCACAGCACAGCCCTCGGCACGGTACATCATTCCGTGGGGCGTTTCTTGGCGAGTCCCCCTGGCACGTCGCGTGGCGCGTCCCCTGGCACATTCCGTGGCACATCCATTGGCACGTTCCGTAGCGCGTCCCCTTGGCAGGTCCTACGTTGCGACCCCATGGCACGTCCCCTGGCACGTCGCCTGGCGCGTCCCTTGGGACGTTTCGCGGCGCGTCCTCCTGGCATGTCCCCCTGTCGATTGGCTCTGGGGCAGCTACTATGTGTTCAGGCAGCTCGAGCTTACGATCCAGATCAGTTCGGTCAGGACTCGGATGCAAAGGAAGACTCGATCCACGACGCTATAGAGCACAACCGCGGCATGGCATATCGCAATTCAGCACGGTGCAGCACAGCACAGCCCTCGGCACGGTACATCAAGATCGATACCTTCAGCATTGCATTTGCCCATCACCCAATCAGGTGTCTTTGAAAACGTTGCCATGCGTTACATTTCTATATTCCTTTCCGGGTTCGTGGGTCGATCATGTTTGTATTTTTCCCGGAAAAGGCTTAGGCCCAGGGTTCTCTTTTAGTTGGTTTACCTCCGGTTTTGACTTGAAGGGGACCGGCGGAATTATTTGCGATAAATATAGAGGTCGAAGAGGGCCAGTGGAATTATTTTTGAGGATGTCTCGAGCGAAACGCTTGTTTTTCAGAATTTGTTGAGGATGTCTCGAGCGAAACGTTTGTTTTTCCAGGATTTAGAATGAACATGTTGAATTTTTACGTGCCCGCTCGAGGATGGTGCGCCCCCCGCGCCAAAACATCGAGGATGTCTCGAGCGAAACGCTCGTTTGGCAAAACTTGAGGGACCTGGGCGCCCCAGCATGCCCCAGGAGGCCCTGGGAGCGCGGACGCGGCGTAATCTACAAGGGATCGTGGCGTTGGGAGCGCGGAGCACGCGTAATTTGCAAAGGATCGTGGCCCTCGGAGCGCGGGCGCAGCGTAATTTACCAGGGGTCGGGGCCTCGGGAGCTCGGACGCAATGTAATTTACGAGGGATCATAGCCCTTGGAGCGCGGGCGCAGTGTAGAATACGAGGGATCGGGGCCCTGGGGGCTCGGACGCAGCGTAATTTACGAGGGATCGTGGCCCTGGGAGCGCGGACGCAGCGTAATTTACAAGGAGTCGGGGCCCTGGGAGCGCGACCCCAGCAGAACTTATGAGGGATCGTGGCTCTGGGAGCGCGGGCGCAGCGTAATTTACGAGGGATCGTGGCCCTGGGAGCGCGTCCCGTGGCACGTCCATTGGCACGTTCCGTAGCGCGTCCCATTGGCACGTCCCGCGGTGCATCCCCGTGGCATGTCCCCTGGCACGTCGCCTGGCGCGTCCCTTGGGACGGTCCGCGGCGCGTCCTCCTGGCATGTTCCCCTGTCAGTTCGCTCTGGGGCAGCTACTATGTGCTCAGGCAGTTCGAGCTTAAGATCCATATCAGTTCGGTCAGGACTCGGACGCAAAGGAGGACTCGATCCACGACGCTATAGAGCACACTCGCGGCATGGCACATCGCAGTTCAGCACGGCGCAGCACAGCACAGCCGTCGGCACGGTACATCAAGATCGATACACTCAGCATTGCAACTTGTCTCCCTGGCACGTTCCGTGGCGCGTCCCGTGGCGAGTCCCCATGGCATGTCGCGCGGCGCGTCCTCTGGTACGTCCCGTGGCACGTCCATGGGCACGTTCCGTAGCGCGTCCCCTTCGCACGTCCCGCGATGCGTCCCCACGGCACGTCCACTGACACGTCGCCTGGCGCGTCCCTTGGGACGTTCCGCGGCGCGTCCTTCTAGTATGTCCCCCTGTCAATTAGCTCTGCGGCAGATACTATGTGTTCAGGCAGCTCGAGCTTACGATCCAGATCAGTTCGGTCAGGACTCGGATGCAAAGGAGGACTCGATCCACATCGCTATAGAGCACAATCGCGGCATTGCACATCGCAATTCAGCACGGCGCAGCACAGCACAGCTCTCGGCACGGTACATCAAGATGGATACACTCATCATTGCATTTGCCCGTCGTCCAATCAGTTGTTTTGGAAACGTTGCCATGTCTTGCATTTCTATATTCCTTGCCGGGTTCGTGGGTCGATGATGTTTGACCCTGACCCTATGGATCTGCGTGAGGGGTGCCACCGAATTTCAGACATGTGGCAAATCCCATGTCTTTTTGGACCTTGACCCTACGGATCTGCGTGAGGGGTGCCACCGAATTTCAGAAATGTGGCAAATCCCCTGTGTTTTTGGACCCTGACCCTACGGATCTGCGTGAGGGGCGCCGCCGAATACCGTTTTCCTTCATTAAAAAAAGGTGCGGGGCACTTTTAGCATAATCCTTGAAAAAAAAGTCTGGAGCGCCGACCGCGACGCGGAAAAGCGCCCCGCGCGCCGGAATTCCGACGATGTCTCGCGCGTGCCGCGTCCCGCGCGCAGGAATTTCGAGGATGTCTCGACTAATTCGCAATTTTTTAAACATTATTTTTTAAATATGAAAAAACTAGTATTATTATTCCCCACATGCTTCGTGGGGTTCTGGTTTTCTTCCTTGTCGCGCCGCACCCGCGACACTCCCACACACACCTCACTCTTCCTCTCCTCCTCTTTGCACTGCTCAGCACATCTCAGCTCAGCTCAGCTCAGCTCAGCACGGCACAGCTCAGCACAGCACAGCTCAGCTCATCTCAGCACAGCACAGCACAGCACAGCACAGCATAGCTCAGCCCAGCTCAGCACAGCACAGCTCAGCTTAGGGGGTGCGCAGGGGGTGGTCCCTCACCGCGGCCGCACGCAGGAATGCAGGGTGCGGCAGGCGTGGCAATGTCTCCACAACAGAGGCGGTGCGCGGGGGGTGCGGTCTCTATGC